CATTGGCATCATTCCACCTCGAAGGTGAAGCCAACCAATGGTGGCAATGGCTGCACCAAGCATACAAAGAGGATGAGCGATTGGTGACATGGGAATTTTTGAGGAAGAGCTGTGGGCTTATTTTGGACCCACAGAATGTGAAGCCTTTGACGAAGCACTATCACGGGTCAAACAGGTAGGTTCCTTGCGAGACTACCAAAAGGAGTTCGAGAGGTTGGGCAACCGAGTGCATGGGTGGACACAAAAGGCATTAGTAGGAACATTTATGGGAGGTCTCAAGGCTGAAATAGCGGAAGGCATACGGATGTTCAAGTTAAGGTCACTGAAGGAAGCCATTAGTCTCGCACGCATGCGAGATGACCAACTTCTTCGTCAAAGGAGATTTATGCAACCACCGCAACTCAGTCGGCCACACTCCAACCTTCCTGTTCCAGCAAAGCCCAACTTAAGATCTCCAGTAAAACGCTTGACATGGGAGGAAATGCAAAAGAGACGAGGTCAGGGTCTTTATTTTAATTGTAACGACAAGTTTACTGTGGGTCATAAATGCCGAAGCCCACAAATTTTGTTGCTAGAAGGAAGCGACATCAATATCAAGTTTGAAGAGGTTCTTGATGACGAGACAGAAGTGCCCATAACTGATCTCCAACCTGAACCAAAGATATCACTACACGCTTTAACTGGATGGTCAACTTCTAGAACCATGAGAGTCATGGCCAGAATCGGATATTATGAGGTGGTTGTCCTCATTGACAGTGGTTCCACCCACAACTTTGTTAGTGAAAAGGTAGCTAATTTATTAAAATTACCTGTGGTTCCAACCGGGCCATTCAATGTGAAAGTAGCTAACGGGAATCCATTGAAGTGCCAAGGGAGATTTAAGCATGTGCAGGTTTTACTTCAGGGTATCCTTTTCTCTCTTACTCTCTATTCATTGCCACTAATTGGGCTAGACTTGGTGTTAGGCGTACAATGGTTGGAGCAACTGGGGACCGTGGTCTGCAATTGGAAAAAAATGACAATGGAATTCCAGTGGAAAAATAAAGCTCAAAAGCTACAAGGAACCAATACATCACCTATTCAATCCACATCCTTAAAGGCAATTTCGAAGGAATTATGACAAGGAAATTCTATGTTTGCTATTTGCCTACAAAATGCCGCACATGAACCACAACATGATGTACATCCAGATATGCAGAACTTGATAAAGCCTATGAGGACATTTTTCAAGAGCCAAAGCAATTGCCTCCAGCAAGAGAAATTGACCACCGCATCACTCTAAAAGAAGGAACCGAGCCTATCAACGTGAGACCCTACAGGTATGCCTATTTTCAAAAAGCTGAAATTGAAAAACAAGTTCAAGACATGTTAAAATTGGGGCTTATAAAATCAAGTGCTAGTCCTTTTTGGTCTCCTGTTTTATTGGTTAAAAAGAAAGACGGCACATGGCGCTTCTGTGCCGACTATAGAGCCCTTAATGCTGTAACCATCAAAGATCGATTTCCAATTCCCACAGTTTATGATATGCTAGATGAACTCCATGGGGCATCTTACTTCACTAAACTAGATTTAAAAGCTGGATACCATCGGGTACGGGTACATCCTCTAGACATTCCTAAAACTGCTTTTCGTACTCATAATGGTCATTACGAATATTTAGTCATGCCTTTTGGTCTTTGTAATGCCCCATCTACTTTTCAAGCCATTATGAACTCCATATTCCTATCTTATCGCAAATTTGTGTTAGTCTTTTTTGATGATATTTTGATTTATAGCCCCAATTGGACCTTGCATCTTGAACATGTTAAACAAGCTTTTGAAATATTATGGCAACACCAATTTTTTGTTAAAATCTGCAAATGTGCATTTGGTCAGCAAGAGTTGGAATACTTGGATCATATTGTTACCTCTCAAGGAGTAAAAGTAGATCAAGGAAAAATTAAAGCAATGCTATATTGGCCTAGGCCTACTAATATTTCTGAATTGCGTGGATTCTTAGGCCTTACAGGATACTACGGGAAGTTTGTTCGTAATTATGGCATATTGGCTCGACCCTGATCAATATGTTAAAAAGGGGATAGTTCAGATGGATAGAAGAGGCTGAAATTGCATTCCAAGCTCTCAAACAAGCTATGACGTCCACCCCTACACTTGCTATGCCTAACTTTAAGGAGCCTTTTGTTATAAAATCTGATGCTTCAGGGGATGGAATTGGTGCGGTTCTAACCCAACAAGGAAAGCCAATTGCATTCATCAACCGAGCCTTGGGGGTGTCCAAACGATCATGGTCCACATATGCTCGAGAGATGTTGGCCATTGTTCAAGCTATCAGAACTTGGAGACCATATTTGTTAGGACGAAAGTTTTATATTCAAATAGATCAATGTAGCCTCAAATACTTAATGGAGCAACACATAGCAACACCAGAACAACAAAAATTGGTGGCTAAGTTGCTTGGATATGACTATGAAATAATATAAAAATCGGGTAGGGAAAATTCAGCAGCAGATGCTATCAAGAAAGGTAGACAGCCCTAGGCTCGATGCTTTATTTGTTTCACGGGCTCATTTATGGGATGAAATTAAAGTTGAAGTTTTTGGACATCCTTACATGGAGAAAATTGGCAGGTTGGCAACTGAAAAACCAGGTGTTCTTTACACATGGCGAAATGGACTGGTGTGCTATAAAAATAGAGTGGTGGTACCTCCAAATGCTCAAATAATCAAGCAACTCTTGCGAGAATTCCATGATTCTCAATTCGGTGGACATTCTGGGGTGTTACGGACATATAAACGACTTGCACAACAATTCTATTAGCCATCTATGTATCGGGAAGTGCAAGACTACGTCTCTTCTTGTGATATATGTCAACGAGTTAAGTCAGAGACTCTCTCGCCAGCAGGACTCTTGCAACCATTGCCCATTCCATGTCAAGTATGGGACGACATCACAATGGACTTCATCGAGGGGTTGCCAACATCTAATGGCAAAAATGTCATTTTTGTGATAGTAGATCGTCTTAGTAAATCAGCACATTTTTTGTCCTTAGCTCATCCCTTTACAGCAAAAATGGTGGCCGAAAAATTTGTATAGTAAAGCTTCATGGAATGCCCAAGTCCATCATTAGTGATCGGGATCCGATGTTTATTAGCCACTTTTGGCGGGAGTTCTTCAAGTTGTCAGATACACAATTGAAAATGAGCTCATCCTACCACCCACAAACGGATGGACAATCCGAAGTAGTCAACAGATGTGTCGAACAATATCTTCGATGGTTTGTCCACCAACACCCACGTAAATGGAACTCTTTTCTTCCATCGGCTGAGTTTTGGTATAATACAGCATACCACGCATCCATAGGGATGACACCCTTCCAAGCTTTATATGGGCGCCTACCACCTAGCATTCCATACTATCAGGTGGGTTCATCTCCAGTTCACAAAGTTGACCAAAATCTTGCCTCGCGGGATGAATTATTACACCAACTCAAGGCAAATTTACGTGCAGCTAACAACAGAATGAAGCAGATGACTGACTCAAAACGACGAGACATTCAGTATCAAGTGGGAGACCTGGTTTTCATTAAACTCCATCCATATCGACAACAAACAATGTTTAGGAGAGCATATCAGAAATTGGCAAGTCGATTTTATGGTCCTTATCTGATTGAGCAAAGGGTTGGCAAGGTAGCATATAAAATAAAACTGCCACAAGGATCCCGAATTCATCCTGTCTTCCATGTTTCACTGCTTAAAAAGAAATTGGGCGAATCCGACTCCACTACTATTGAATTACCTCTTATTGATGATGATGGAGGAATTATCATGGAACTCGAAGCCATCTTGGATACACGTTGGGTAAAGAAAGGATCACGTTTTGTTGAAGAAAATCTTGTCAAGTGAAAACGACTACCTGTGGACGATGCCACTTGGGAAAATGCTCAAGAATTGCAAGATAAGTTCATAAACATGGACCTTGAGGACAAGGTTCCAGTAAAAGAAGGGGGTATTGATAAACCAAGACAATCACAACGTGTTCCCATCAAGAATACAAGGTTTATAGAATGACGTCCTGTTAGACATGCTGGATACTTGGATCGTGGAAGAATGGATTGGAGCTGTTGAGGAATTGCTGGCAAAGTTCCATTGGTCCAATATTTGTTATCTATTATTTTGTTGTTTGGGTTATTGTTAGTTATTAATTTAGGTGTAGCTGTGGAGTCCAATTCCAAGATCATGCATGCTTGCACGTGGAAGAGCCCATGGAATTTCTGTTGATACGTTGCAGATTAGAGTTAGGATTTGTTCTTCATTTGTTTAGTTTACTTTAAAGCTGTTTATCTTAGTTCCACGGTCTGCTGGACAGTTTTCATGTGTAGCAATAGTTTAGGAAAAGTAGTTGAGTTGTAGCTTATTTAAAGAGCCAACGTGAATAATAAATGGCAGTGAAATATTTATCCAAAGTAATTTGTGGTTTATTTCTCACCCTAAGAGAAATTTGTGGTTTTCTTTCACCCGAAGAAAGAACTATTTCTACCATTTCATCTTTGTCCTGATTGGGACCTATTAGTGGGTTTCAGTTCTTTAAGGGTGGGATTTACACGGGCGAGTGTGGAACCAAACTAACTCATGCTGTTACCGTAGTTGGATATGGTACAAGCGAAGATGGGACTAAGTATTGGATATTCAAGAATTCTTGGGGCCCAAATTTCGGAGAAAATGGGTATATACGGTTACAGAGGGATATTGCAGCCATAGAAGGTATATGTGGCATTGCTATGCATGCAACATATCCCATTGCTTGAGTTTCTTGGAGAAGATGACTTTGGATCTAGGGAGATGGATGATCGGTGGCGGTCGAAGATTTGCAACAGCAAAGAATTTTTATTTATTTTTTTCTTTGAGAATAAGCACACATTTTATTAATCTTATCTTGGTTTTCTTGAATTTTAATTTTATAGGTCTGCCAAGTTTGGAATAATGATACATTTTTATACAATTTTTATGAATGCGTTGAATTTGGTAAATAAGTTCAAGGTGATTAATAGTTTTATTTTGTTTTACTTTTTGGATTGGATCTCATAATAATTTCACCATCAGATTTCAAAGTAGTGCAATCTAATTCAAAAATTTCACCCAACTGAGATCGTCTAGCATGCCCAAAAATGACGATTAAGTGGAGACTATTCACATCCATTTAAGAACAATTAAAGGCTTCAATTGGATACAAACAATATTTGAAATTGGGAAGAATGCTTAACGGTCAACATAACAAGTATAATAGTCTGTTCAACTTAAAATACTTAAGACTAAAGATATCAACAAATCCTTATCATATCCTTGTCCTCCTCTCTCTAAACATGTATAAGTAACACCATAAGTTTGCAAAGATGACGCCAAAAACATGGACAAGCCATCCAGAAAAACCTAATAAGAGTGGAAGAGAAATAAAATGGACACGCCCAGTACGGATTCAAGATTGTAGGTCAACTTGGACAACTGTTAACTATTAAGGATTTGGAGAATGAAGTTTCTTATTCAAGTTACTTTGAAATGAAATGTACATGTGCTATAAATAGCAATCCAAAGAGAGAGAGGAGGGAAAAACCAGCTTTTACTAACAAACTTTAACCAACTAAACTAATTTTAATTGGCTTAACTAATATTTGCCGCCAAGTGCTTCCATTACTCCTGATACCCACCTCAAGATGGATTGCGAAGATTGATTATAGCCATCTTGGACAGCAAATGAAAAAGCATAGCTGCAGGCAAAGGTTTTGTGAAGATGTCAGCAAGTTGGTGATTAGTTTGAACCGGCAGTAACTTGATGAATCCATCACTGACTTTATCTCTTACAAAAAGGCAATCTATCTCTATGTGTTTGGTCCGTTCATGAAAGATGTGATTGGTGGCAATATGCACTGCTACTTAGTTGTCACAAAAGATCAAAGTCGAACCCTCGGGACTTATATGCAAGTCAAGAAGCAACTGATGTATCCATACAAGTTCACTGGTAGTGGATGCCAATGCACGGTATTCGGCTTCAACGGATGATCTAGAAACTGTACTTTGTTTCTTAGCCTTCCACTACACAGTGGAATCCCCAAGGAAAACACAGAATCCAGTAACCCATTTTCTAGAATCTAAGCAGGATCCCCAATCTGCATCAGCAAAGGCACGCAACTGTAATGTTGAATTAGCAAAAAACAAGAGGGCTTGACCTGGAGTAGCTTTAATGTACTATAGTAAATGATGAGCAGCATTCAAGTAAGGCTTTCACGGTTGAGAAACAAATTGGCTGAGTTTATGAACTGCGAATGTGATGCCTGGTCTTGAAATGGTTAGATATAGGAGACGTCCAATCAGTTGCCTATATAAATAACCATCTTCCAACAGCTCCCTATCAAATGAGCTCAGTCAAACCTTAGGATCCATCAGTAAGCTAGTAGGCTTACAAGCAAGGAACTCGGTATCTTCAAGTAATTGGAGGGCATAGTGCCTTTAAGAGAGGATGATGCTTTGATGCAATCGAGCAATCTCCAAACCAAGAAAATATTTAAGTTTGCCAAGATTTTTGAGCTTAAATGGACTATGTAGAAAGGACTTCAAATTATCAAAAGAAGGAGCCTCAGAGCAAGCGAATGCCATTGGGGGATTTCCAATGCAACAGAGACAGAGATATGATCTATATGCTAACACATATAATCCTGGATTTAGAGATCATCCTAATCTCAGTTATGGAGGAAATCATTTCATAGCTCCACAATCACAGTTTAATCATCCCTTAGGGTTCAATCAACAAAGGCAACCACAACACCCTCAACCTTGTCAACAAACTCCGCCTCAAAGTTCAGAGATGTCACTTGAGGAAATGGTTAAGTCCTTGGCTTCTAGTACAATACAATATCAACAAGAGACAAAGACCTCAATTAAGAATTTGGAGACACAAGTGAGCTAATTGACCAAAACGGTGGGTAAATTGGAGGTCAAAGATCGGGAAAACTTCCTTCTCAAGAAATCAACCCAAAAGAAAATGCTAATGCCGTGACACTAAGAAGTGGAAAAATTTTGGAAGAGACACCAAGGAAAATGAAAGATCAAGTTGAGGAGTCAACGCAAGAAAAGAACTTAGCATGTGAAAAAAAATGAAGCTATGACTCCAACTGCAGGATCTAAGGTAGAATCTAAAAATTCTATTCCTACTTATGTTCCCTCCCCTCCATTTCCTGGCAGGTTTGCAAAGTCCAAAATGGATGAACATGAGAAGGAAATTTTGGAAACTTTTCGCAAGGTTCAAGTGAACATACCACTTTTGGATGTAATTTATCAAGTGCCTCATTATGCAAAGTTCCTCAAGGATCTGTGCACTAACAAGCATAGATTGAAAGGTAATGAAGTGGTAAGTGTAAGAAAAAATGTCTCAGCAGTCTTGCAAAAAAAACTTCCACCAAATTGTAAGGACCCAGGAAGTTTTACCATCCCTTGCATTATTGGTAACACTAGGTTTGAAAAGGCAATACCAGATTTAGGAGCATCTATTAATGTCATAATATATTCTATTTATGCTTCCTTAAATCTAGGATCACTTAAAGAAATCGGTGTTATTATTCAACTTGCTGATAGATCTAATGCATTTCCAAAGGGTGTGTTGGAGGATGTTTTGGTGCAGGTAAATCAATTGATTTTTCCGACAAATTTCTATGTTCTTGACATTCAAGATGAACCAACATCTTTGTCGCCACCGTTGCTCTTCGGAAGACCATTTATGAGGACTGCGCGTACAAAGATAGATGTGCATGATGGTATATTGACAATGGAGTTTGATGGTGAGATTATTCGCTTCAACATCTTTGAAGCAATGAGGTATCCTAGTGATGTTCACGCTTGTTTTTCAATTGATATAATAGATTATTAGTACAAAAAGTTTTTGAATTATCAAATGAAGATGCATTGGATACCACTTTGATTAAAAGCATTGATGCTAACAATCTCACTGAGTTGAGCAAGAATTTACAAGTGTGCAAGGATGTTGTTGAAACCGTGGCATCACTTGAGTCACTACCAAGTATTCCACCAAGGTATGATCTCTCCTATATTATTCTTTCGATATCTAAAGAGAAACTTTTACCTTCGGTGATGCAGGCCCCCACTTTGGAACTCAAACCTCTTCCCGAGCATTTGAAGTATGTCTATTTGGGAGAGGGGAAAACACTACCAGTAATCATTGCAAAGAATCTCACAACACTTCAAGAAGATAGGCTTATCCGTGTGCTCAAGGAATACAAAATAGCTATTGATTGGACAATAGTCGATATCAAGGGGTTAAGCTCTTCTATGTGCATACACTGGATATTGCTCAAAGATGGAGCAAAGCCATCAAGAGAAGCAAAACGTCGTTTGAATCCTCTCATGATGGAAGTGGTGAAGAAAGAAATTTTGAAATTATGAGACATTGGTGTCATCTTTCCCATTTCTGATAGCAAGTGGGTAGGTCCGGTCCAAGTTGTTCAAAAAAAGTCCGAAATCACAGTGGTGACAAATAAAGAGAATGAGCTTGTAGCGACTCATGTCCAAACGAGTTGGAGGGTTTGTATTGATTATAGAAAACTTAATTGTGCAACCCAAAAAGATCACTTTCTTTTGCCCTTTATTGATCAAATGTTGGAAAGGTTGACAGGTCATTCTCATTATTGTTTTCTTGATGGTTATTCAGGTTATAACCAAATTGTAATTGCTCCGGAGGACCAAGAGAAAATAACATTCACTTGCCCGTTTAGCACCTTTGCTTACCGGCGCATGCCCTTCGGCCTTTGCAATGCTCCCACAACCTTTCAAAGATGCATGATAAGTATATTCTCCTATTATATTGAAAGCATCATTGAAGTCTTTATAGATGATTTTAGTGTTTGTGGTAATACCTTCGATAGCTGCCTGGAAAATCTCACACTTGTGCTTAAGAGATGTATGGATGCTAACCTAGTACTTAATTGGGAAAAATGTCATTTTACGGTTGATCAAGGCATAGTGTTAGGTCATGTCATTTCTTCCAAGGGGATAGAAGTTGATAAATCTAAAATTGATTTAATTCGCTCTTTACTTTCTCCAACAAGTGTGAGGGAGATTCGTTCTTTTCTTGGACATACAAGATTTTACCGAAGGTTTATCAAGGATTTTTCCAAATGCGCAAGACCATTATGTAGGTTGTTGCAAAAGGAGGTACCATTTCATTTTGATGAAGATTGTGAAAAGGCATTCGAGAGCTTGAAGGAACTTTTGACATCGGCACCCATCATTCAACTACCAGATTGGAGCAAGCCATTTGAGTTGATGTGTGATACAAGTGACTTTGCATTGGGAGCCGTTTTAGGGCAACAAGTTGGAAGACACCTCATGTTATATATCATGCATCAAGAACTTTGAATGATGCCCAACTCAATTATTCTATTACCGAAAAAGAGCTTTTATCAGTTATTTTTGCCTTAAAGAAATTTCATTCATATCTTATTGGCAGTAAAGTAACTATCTTTTCTAATCATGCAGCTCTTAGGTACTTGCTTGCCAAGAAAGAGGCAAAATCAAGGCTCATTAGATGGATACTCCTCTCACAAGTGTTCGACCTTGAGATTAAAGACAAAAAGGAGAGTGAAAATTCTGTGGCCGACCACCTCAGTCGCCTTATCCATGAGAGAGAAACTCTCCCATTGCAAGAAAGCTTCCCTGATGAACAATTGCTTCTCGTCATGGACACATCTCCTTGGTTTGCGGATGTAGTAAACTATTTAGTCACTAAGAAAATTCCAAGTGACTTGACCACTGCTCAAAGGCAAAAACTCAAGGCGAAGGCCAAGTATTTTTTGTGGGATGAGCCATACTTGTGGAAACACTGTCCAGATCAATTGATAAGAAGTTGCGTGCATGAAAACGAATTTCAATCAATACTTACCTTTTGTCACTCATATGCATGTGGTGGACATTTTGGAGCAAACTGCTCTCAAGGTGCTTGAAAGTTGATTCTATTGGCCCACCCTATTCAAAGATTCATTCCTCTTTTGCAAATCTTGTGATCGATGTCAAAGAGTAGGTACGTTGGGAGCCCGAAATCAAATGCCACAGACACCCATACTTTTTGTTGAAATTTTTGATGTTAGGAGCATTGATTTCATGAGACCTTTCCCTTCATCTTATAGTAACCTTTACATCATTCTTGCCATTGATTATGTGTCAAAATGGGTAGAAGCAAGGGCCACTCGAACTAATGATTCTAAAGTGGTTGTAGATTTTGTTAAATCCAACATTTTTGCAAGGTTTGGAACACCCAGAGCTATTATTAGCGATGGATGACTACATTTTCGCAACCGTTCCTTTTGGGCCCTATTGAAAAGATACAACATCACCCATAAAGTGGCTACACCTTACCATCCGTAAACTAGTGGGCAAGTCGAAATGTCTAACCGAGAGGTCAAATCCATCCTCAAAAAAACTGTGAATCCCAATAGAAAAAATTGGATTCTTTGCCTCGGTGATGCACTCTGAGCTTATAGGACGGCATACAAAACACCGATCGGCATGTCCCCTTATCGATTAATTTATGGTAAGCCTTGTTATCTTCCGGTTGAACTCAAACACAAGGTATTTTGGGCAGTCAAACAATGTAATATGAACCTAGGTGCAACGGGTGATCAAAGAAAGCTTCAACTTAATGAACTTGAGGAAATTCGAAATGACGCCTATGAAAGTTCAAGAATTTACAAGGAAAAAACTAAGGCGTACCATGATAAAATGATTTCAAAAAAGGCTTTTGTTGTTGGACAAAAAGTTCTTCTTTTCCACTCGCGTCTCAAGTTATTTCTAGGTAAATTACGTTCTCAATGGATTGACCCTTTTGTTGTTACTAATGTCTTTCCTCATGGTGCAGTGGAAATCAAAAGCCTTCAGACTGGGAGAGAGTTTAAGGAGAATGGACATTGATTAAAGCCATATTTTGAACCCATCGTACCACAAAACATGGAGGAAATGCGATTGGAGGATCCACTCGAAGAAGCATGAGAGAGGACACTTATTTTTGTTTTTGTGAATTTTTGTTGTCAATGGTCACCAACCATCATCACCGTCAACACCACTAGGGGAGTATTTGAACCCCTTGCACTTTCTATTTCTTTTTGCTTTTACATTGAGGACAATGAGTAATTTAAATTTCGGGGCGAGGTGGTATGTGCTTATTTTTTTGTGAAATTTTGTGGTTTGCGCTAATTTTGTTCTCGCCAAAAACTTAAAAATTCGGCTTAAACACTTGTTTTTATGCTTGTTTGTATTGTTTGATAGTTTTGCCAATTGCATTTTGAGTATTGCATTGCATTGATTTATGAATTGGGAACATGAATACTAAGTGCTGTTTATTTTCATCCACTTATTCCATGATTGACTCTTTATTTAGCACTTGAGTCATGAGATTCATCACACGCACTTTTTTGTTGCACTTGTAGGTTGTTAACGAACTTAAATGACCATGCTATTAAAAATTCTTCAATTACTCTACCAATAAAAGGATAAGTTTGGAGGTGGTTGAACCGGTGAAAGAAATTATTTAGAATTGTATTAATTCCCTACCCAATGATTAATTTTGTGGAATGTTCTTAGACTTCAAATGAAAGTTAGATGATATTTTCCATCTATTGATATTTCATAATTAAAAAAAAAATTATGTAGGAAAAAGTTGCCTACCCTAAAGAGTGTGAGTCAGCATTGAGTAATCTGACCCTATGCATCACCAATGTGTAGGAGATGATCTACGAATGAAGAAGGCTACCCTTAGGGACCAGAGCGAGAACTACCTACAGTGGAAAAATGAAGAAAAATAAAAGGAATGCTATAAGCATCTAGGGGTGATTTTGTTGAAGAATTGATAGATTGTGAGTAATTTGCGTAACATAAGTTTGTGGTCTAAGCACTCAAAGTTTTTGGTGAATTAATACATGATTAGATGATCTATTTTTTTCGGTTCGAACCAACCAAATTTGAGAGGGAAAGATTGAGTGATTTGAGGGCAACCTTAAGTTTTTGATACCTTAGGTTAGAGTGAAAATATCAAGTTTGAGGGAGTGTGCATCCCACCAGTGAGAAATGAAAGTTTGACCATTAAGGATTGGGAAAATCACCAACTTGTGTATTGCGATGAATTGGAATGACCACACACACACACACGAGTCAAGCATGGTGTAAGTTTAAAAGTGTTTGTTGTAGCATTTTTGTATACATTTCATAAGTTGTTTGCATAATGTAAGAATTGAAGCAAAGTGGTAAAATATCGAACAATTGGGGTGTTTGTTATTATTATAGTATTATCGTTTGGTTTTAATTTATGTGTTTGTATGCTTGTTTGTATTGCTTTGTTCGAGGACTAACAAATATAAGTTTGGAGGTGTGATAAATGTGGGTTTATTGTGCTTATTCGGACCATTAAACTTAGATATTTGCGAGTTTTATTAGCGATTTATTACTTAATTTTCTTATTTTTATTTTGTAGGTGAAAACTCGATATAAACGATGAATTGAAGGAATTTATGTGAAAAACGAGCTAAAAATGAAGGCAAACGAAGAAGATGACCAAAGACGCCGTCGAAAGAAAATTTATTAAAAGAAAAAAAAATTAAAAGCAGTAAACTGGGCACTGCAGCGCCCAGCCATTCTGCCCCGTTTTGGGTAGAAGGTGCCAACCGGGTCACTTTAATTATTCCCTTAAATTTCAGGGACCAAAAGCTGCAATTTTTTCTTAGGTTTTAATGAAAAATGGGGCAGCCATTTCTTCCCATTTTTTCTGCTTCTTTTCTTTAGTTTTTCTTTTTCTTTCTACTTCTTTTAACCTATATTGGTTTGGATATTTTGGGGAAGATTAGAGCTTGAAGATGGTGAAATAGCTTGGAAGAAGAGATCCATTTCTCTCATTATCAATAAACTTTTCTTTTCTCTAATTTATTTTCTATTAATGGCTTGTAAGAATTTGTTGGTTATTTGTGAGAATTTCATGGGTAACTAAATATATTTGAGATTGGGAATTATTTCAAACCCGAGTTATGATTTTCAATTAATTTGTGCTTTATAATTCTCTTGATTAATATGTTTAATCTATTGTGTTAAATGTTTATTTTGTTCTTCTTGATTGTTTAGGTGTAAAACTAAATAATTAAGTTATTTCGATTAATGCTATTTTGGGATTAGTATTACGTAATAGCTATTGATTCTAAAATCTAGTAGCAATTACATTTCGATAGATTATGAAAAATTTTCAATTGAATGTATGTGGATTAACACTTAAGTTAGTAAACCAAGCTTGCGAGTTTACCCTTAATTCAATTTATATTTTTTGTCGTAACGCGTTTGTTAAATTAAATCTAGAGAGCTTGTTCTAGGTTATTTAGTGAATAGGGTTGAGTAAAGAGCTTGTTTTATTCGACTAATATGTAAGAAGAGATTGAGGTAATTGAACTTGTAATTATTCTCGAATTGTCGTTAATCTTGAGAACGAAAATCCATTGTGGTAATTGACATGAAAATCATTCTCGTGGTGACGAAATATCCCCCAATCACATTTTCTCGCATTCAATTAAGAACCAATTTGTTTATTTCAAATTTCAAGTCTTTTTTAATTTAAATTTATCGCTTTCTTTAGTTCAACAAATCAAACCCCTCATTTAATCTATTTCATATATTATTATTAATTTTACTTTTTAGTGTGCAATTGACATAATTGAATCAATTCTCTGCGAAAAATGACCCTTACTTGCCATAATACTATTTAAGACGTTACATTTAAGTTAAGTAAGGAAAAGTAATTGGAACGTGATTTGCAACATATTAGTAATGTCATTTATTAATATTTAATTAAATAATCAAGAGTTCTTTGTGTTATTTAACAGCTCACGTGCTCAACTAAACGCATTTTGATTCGTGTCTCGGAAGTGGCATCTATGCGGAACGAGGTAGTGAAAGGTAACAAACTAAGCTTTCTCACAATAGGCTTGCGGTGAATTAACAGCTCATGTGCTCAACTAAACGCATTGGTGATACTCGGCAAACTGTAACAAGGATCATTGGTTTGTAGTGGATGCTCAAGTGGAAAATTTAAGAGTGTGGAGGATACGGCAATTGCTTTCATGATTTCCAGTAGGTTTCTTAGTTACTCAATACTTTTGTACATTTGAAATTTTGAATCCCAAATATGGGAAGGTTCTGAAAGTGGCAACTAGCAGGTGCTGGATGCAATTGGCATTTTTTTTTAATCGGTAAATATAAAATTATATAGATCAAAACTCATGTAAAAGTACACCGGACATACCCGAAGTTACAAAACCCCTACTAAATCATAAAGCTATAGTCTTTTTTTTTTTTTTGGGTGGACTAGATTATGTTTTCACATCACATTGGCTAATTGTGGTGGTATAATGTGGATGGAGCATTACATCTCTCTCCTACCTTTTGATATAGAACTGATGGATATATTATACTTTTTAATCTGTCAATATGTCCAATTAAATTTGTATTTAATGTGCCACATCAAGGCGACACTTTGATCTCAAATCGTGGGTAACAAGTTCTATTTCAATGTTCCAAAGGAAACACTGAAACTTTTCTAGTTTGTAGTCTGGAGGGAGATCATCCTGCTTTCAATTGTTAGAATAAGTTAAATTCATTTGAACATACAATGTCTGGCACACTGTATTCACAACTCGATCTTTATAGTACACTTTACAGCAAAATGTGGTAGTATTTTTGAAGCCGAATTTAATTTGCTATAGATTAGCAAGCTGTAGAAGACCGGAAAATAATTTTCTGTTGCTGATTTTGGCACTGGACGTTGCATGATCGAGCCTTGTCTCTCAGTTCTTGAAACGCTCTCATTGTTTCCACATCAAAACCACCCGCAAACTGGAGAAGTCCACAAAGGAGCAAAGTAAGTAGCTGACTTAAAACTTATAGAAAGCAATCTAAGCGAGCAAAAGTTGGTACAACTTTACCTGATGCACTCGGAAGGCAAACTTAACGCCTTGAATTATGAGTTCTTCTTCTTCGGGACCACCACCAACAATTTCAAGCTCTGCAGACACTCTCTTCATATACTTCTTGGCTAACTTCACAGATGCCAGCTTGATCTACAATAGAAGACATAAGTACTACTGCAAACTCCGTTTGTTATATCCCAATTATTACAGCAAATACATAAAACTTCAGAACAACAGAGAGCCAAAAAAACATCAACATCATGGCAGATGTACAAATTCAATGTCACTTTCATACTTGCTTCCCTTCCTACATCGTTAATAACAAATGTCCCAACAATGCATACGACAAATATCACAGCAAAAATTACCTACTAGAAAGAAACACTTAACACTTATTACACGAGCTAATCTTTATTATTCTTCTCCACATGGGTCCTTGACAATCACCCTTTCAACTACTTCATTATAAAAAAAATATTAGGATATAAACAAACACGTGTTAGGAAACTTCATTATGTTTTCCAACATTGAAAGGTTCAATCCCGGATAATTAAATAATGTCGCAATATCTTAGTGAATAATATTAAATTAATGTGTATAAAAAGGGCAACATGAAGAATCTACATTCTTATATAACAGGACAAAGAAACCAAAAAAGTAACAAACAGACAATAATTATATATAGAAGAGACTTCACATGCAGGCATAAACATGTGCAAGGCAAAATCTTTCAACTCATTTTGGCATCTAGCTAACATTTAATTTCGATATAACACTAAAGATTGTGCCATGCAGTTTCTTTTTTGCCTCTAGACTTTACTAACAGCTGTATGAACTACCTACTCAATTATAGACAAAAAAATGAGTCCATTCTGCATCTCTTTCAATGAACCTACCACCAAGAGTAGATGAAAATAACCAATCAACTGATAAAGGGTTATCAATTATATATTTGTATATATTGTTCATTGTAATTGACAAAAGTTGGGAAATTACTTAGTCGTAAGTACAATACACGATAACGTATTCTTCACTGGAAGCTTGTGAAGGACTGCAAGTATGGTGGTTGGCCGAGCAATAAAAAATCAATGAATACGAGCAAGTTCTAAACACTAAGACGTCCTCCCTTTCATTATTCTTGGAGGAATAGGATATCTCGGCCTACACTTAACTAATAACAGGGGATATAAAGCGATCCTCCCTTTTATCATTCTTGGCCAGAAAGATTTGACACTCAAGTTATTATCAGTCACAAATAGCAAATTCCTTTAGGTCTCTCTCGACAGAAAGATTTGGACCAAAGAGTTATAAATTGTGATAGATGTACGCATTTACCTGAGTTACATATCCAGTATCAAGCATCCAATCGACTGGAATTTGTAACACCTTGTATCGCTTTGTAGCAGACTCCCGAATTCTACACAAATTATAAACTCCATGCTCCAATCTGTATCAAATAAAGCAAGTATTAGGTGTGGATTATAACCAGTTAGTACGGATAGCGTTACTCTTTTCAAAAACTGGTTTATTGAAAATATAATAACAGTAGAGATTTCATATCGTACTTCTCAAACAAGGCCTGCATTTTCTTAAAAGCTGGAGCACAAGGCTGTCTAGGATCATCACGAAATGATGAGGCTTCGAATTCCAGTTTCTTCAAATCACTGTACCCAAATGCAGCTTCTCTTAATGCATCTGCCTTCTGCTCAGGCCAATTGAAATGTTTCAATACTGCCCTTTCATCAACCTAGTTACATTAAATTAAATTCCTTAAATTATAAACAATACTTACATGTGAGACTAGACTACAGGTGATTAAGAACGAATGACAAATTTATCATTAGTAGACAAATAACTAAAGAAAAATGTACCAGGTGGGAGAGCTCGTCATCAAGCCATTTTACGAAAGGTACAACATCTTCAATGTCGGTGAACGCAGCCCCTTCGACTTCTTTGATTAAGAACCTAATGAAATCTCCTTGTGTTTCTACATCTGTCTTAATCTGCAATTAAAGTATTTAGAAACAGATTATTGACCTTGATCAAATTTATCAACAACTAACTACACATTTGTTTATACTGTCACAAAGGTGTGATATATAGTTTTACTACATTGTCAGACAAACTTGATACATTCTTCAACAGATGGCATTCTGTCATTCGCCTGATTGAAAAACACAGTAGTTTTTTGAATCAATGAAAACCCGTCAACACTGCTTCTATCAAAGGGGTGGGCACCAAATTCTGGCAAAACAGCTTAACTGCTTGTTTGGTATGGATTTTAAGTTAATTAAAATCAATTTTTTTATCGTTATTTTACTATCCTACCCGTCATTTTTTTATTCTTCTCTCACAGGGACTGACTTTATCTTGATCAAAAAATCAATCATCAAAATCCCTACCAAACAAATTTGACATAAAATTAACCTTATAGGGGAAACTAAAAGTCTTAAATACCCCCATGATTTTGTTCAATTACAACCTTTTTGCAGAACCGATTTGGATTTCGAATCGGAGTGCTGTCTTACGTTGTAAGCAAACACAACAAAATTCCAAGAAAAACTGAAAAAGTTCAACCACAAAAGACACTATGACAGGTCAATTCAAGCGACCGTGGCATAAAGTAAGTGGCAACAACTGTAAATAAACCCAAAATCAATGACGAAAAAGTAGAAGGAAAACTTACGGCTAGTAAGTGTGCAGAACGATTTTCAATCTCTCCGATCATGTCCTTGGCCGTCGCTCCTGCAGCTGGAGCATCAGCGGTGGTATCTCGCCTTGGATTTGAATCCCTCCTCATTAATGAGTGGTAAAACTCAACCACCTCGGGGATTCTCCTGACCTTGGCTGGCACTGTTTTCGAACCTTTGGGCGGGGGAGGCGGAGGGGGAGGTGGTGCTACTGCACGTGGCGCCATCTTAGACTGAGGAGGAGGAGGATGTGGTGGTGGTGGAGCCACTACTTTCACTGGCGGCGGAGGAGGCGGAGGCGGTGGGGGATGAGGAATATTTGAAATCTCGGCCAACGCCCTGTCCTCCGAACCGGATGATACCACGGATGATGATGAAGAAGAAGAAGAAATCGATGATAAAAGAAATGCCGACGGTTTCGGCGGTGGCTTAGGAATTCTTGGGGCACGAGATCTGAATCCCATTATCCCATCGGAATTATCTGCAATTTCTTCAGAACTACACCAAGATTTTATAGGCCTTTCATTACTCTCCACAGACCCAACTATATCTTCTTTCTTAAAAGTAATACTACTTTCCAAACTAGGGACAGTGTAATTATGCGTTGCGGATTTTCTCAATGTCTTGTTTGTAATACTAGATATGTAATTGCTGCTTACATCGACAAGTTTTTGTGTAGACGATGAAGCCTCGTCGTGTTCTTGTTGTGTCTCTGCAACTGCTTTCTTTATATCAGAGAGTTCAGCCTGCATAGCTTTTATTTTCTCCTCATATTTCTGGTTCTGTCTGTATAATTCATTGTGTAAAACCTCAACATCTTCTCTGAGTCTCTCATTTTCTGCTTCTAAGCACTCAATCTTCTTTCTTGACCGCTCGATTTCCGATTCTTTATTTAAGATCTCGTTTTCGAGAACCGGAACAATGGCGACTGACTCTCTGAGCAGCTTATGTTCCAAGAGTTCGGTTTTGAAACGGGACTCTCGGTCACGTAGTTCTTCAACGAGGCGGAGGAGCTCGCTGATGTCAGGGGGGCGGGGCTGGACCTGGGCGGAGGCTCGTGGTAAGTAAACGCCGAATGATCGTGAGAATACAGTGCCGTTTCCCTTGTGGTTCCCAGAAGTCAGCATGGATGATGGTGGTGGTTTAGGAGATATCTGTGGCTTTTGCTTTTGGTTTGATGAAGATTTTTGAAAACCCATTACCTCTTTTACCTTCCCAGCAACCATTGTTGTGGAAGACTCTCTTAGGTGTATATGTGTTTACAATGCTATTGGCTAGGAATCTGAAACGAGTCGGTCGAGAACCAAAAAGGGGTGACGGTCTGCCTTCAGAATGAAGATATAGCTATATATCTACGCGGATCGTCTGGGGATAGGAAACTGCTCCACATATCCAGTTTTAGCCACGGTTTGCTTTAGCTCATAAAGTTGAGATTTTAATTTAAATTTTAGTCACATATTCAACGAATTCACAAATTTTTAAAAATATATTTTATCAACTTTGATCAAAATTTATTACAAATTTGATTTTAATCCCTAACAAAAAGTATCTTAGCAAATTTTTTCATGAAATGTCAGAATAAAAATTTTAAGAAAAAATGAGTTGTAGAAAATGAAGACCAAACAAGAGCTTATAGTCTATTCAGTAGTGATTATGAAAATTAATTTTTTGATCGAAAAGTGAGTCTAGTTGTGAGTAAAGTAAAAAATGACAGGTGAAATAGTGAAATAACGGTCAAAAAATTAATTTTTTTGGTTGAAAAATTACCACCAAACGGAGACTTAATTAACACTCGATAACCTTACATTTTTCGTACAAATTTGTCTTCATTTCAAGTAATCTCACAAACAAATGTTAGAGCCTGTTAGAAAGTGATTTTAAGAATTGATTTTTTTATCGTTAGCAGAAAAGTGGGGACCACATATGAAAGAAGAAGTCAAATTTTGAAATAGTGAAATAACGGTCAAAAAATCAATTTTTTAGGAGAAAAAATTACTCTCAAACAAGCTCTTAAGCTCTTGATTGGTTCCATTTTTAAAATTATTGTTTTCAAACTCATTTTTAACCCCGTACTTTATGATATTCATAATTTCTATAAATTTTTCAGACACGTATTTCATCAACTTTTATCAAAATATACTAAAAATATGATTTTTTGCAAAATCAAACATGGCTAAATTTCATATCAGACGTTAGATCTATCATTTATGATACTTATTTTGTTTGGTTGATCGTCATGTTTAAGTTGATGATTTTGTTCGTTTTTATTAATTTGATGTGGTAATTTAATTATTTGTTAACTAAATTGCCACATCAATTTTGATATTTGTTCGACTAACTACAAAATGACAATAATTGTTCAAGTTGAGCATTCCCTAAGCAATTTCAAGTGAATTTAAGTTGGTCGATCTATTTGAATGAAATAGAGTTTAAAAATAATTAAAAGTTGAGGTCCACTGGTGTTTTCAACGGCTAACAATTATGAACCGTTTTAGCAATAGTTCTTTTGGGCCCATCTTAAGTACAATTTAAAGAGAAATTTTGGTGGAAAAGAGAATTAGAAAAGGAAAATTCGGAAACTGAAAGGTGTTTCTAACGTTCGATTTATATAATTGGTGGGTTTGTATAGGTAGTTGATTTGAATTGAGTTTGATTACGAGCTCAAACTTAATTTGAAATCATTGTATCTTAAATTTAGGATTATGGTTGATATAGAAATGATATTAAAATTTGACTCTTAAGTTTTAACTATGGAATTTAATTGATTTGACATTTATTTACAGATGTTTGGTAGGGATTAAAGTTAACTCGTTTGGTAGTTCTTTTTTTAGCCAAAAAAATTGATTTTTTTATTGTTATTTCACTATTCCAACCGTCATTTTTTACTTTTTCACACACAGGTGATCTTTACTTTTTTTATAACAGTCAAAAAATTAATTATTATAATCACTACCAAATGGGCCTTTAGATTTTTTTAGTAGATTATGATAGAAGTTTTTAAAATGTATGATTGAGAAGTTGTGAGATCCAAAAAAGATGTGATTAATATTAATTGTTTGACTTTGACTTAGATTAAAATCATTTTAATCCAAACATGGAATCATAGCCAATGTTTAAAAAAAAAAAGTATTAAAAATATTACCCTAAAAAAATTAAAAAGAGGACGGACTATAGAAAATCTTAACACGCTTATACATCGTGTTCTTCTTCATGTTAACCTAAAAAGCACTATAATCTTCGTAAATATCTTAAACCCTTGTTTGGTGGAGATTAAAACCATATTTTTAGTAAATTTTAATAAAAGTTACTGAGATGTGTGGTTGAAAAGTTGCGGATCCCATAAAATATGTAGTTAAAATTAGTTGTTGACTTTAATTTAGATTAAAATCTAAATTTTAATTTTTACCAAACAGGGGCTAAGTTGTCTGATTGAAAAATAAATAAATATTTTCAAGTAGACAAACACCACAAAATTTTACAAGGAAAGCATATGAAGGGACAATAGTTACAGCAATTCAAATCTTCGCCCAACCGTACGAGTGACAGAAAGGGCTGAGCAGGGCACCTTTTTTCTCATGAGTCGACTTTTTTTTAATATGTTTTATTAATTTGTTTAAAACAAGAGGCCAACTCGTGGGCTCATGGATGGCTCGAGTCGATTCAATCCATAATGTCCACGAGTTAAAGGAACAAACTGAACATAGTTTACAGACACAAATCGTGTTCGATATCGAAAGGTCGAACCTGCTCAACTCGAACCATAGTGACCATAAACTCAATATGATTTGTCTCAATTGGAGACAAATTAGAAAAAAACAAATACCTAAGAGAGAAAACCCATTTGTAGCCTATCAAATCAAACGGGTGAGTATTTCTGCTTTTAAAAAAGAAATAAAGTGTTTTTGTTTGATTTTGGGGTTTCTTTGATTCCAAGATTTTTAACTTTTAGTAAAGGAACACGTGTAATAAGTGATAAACTGTTTTGTTTGATTGTGGACAAATTACTATTGGAGAATGACATTGAAACCAAATTGCTTGTATAGATGTTAAAAATTTGCAGTTAGGAAATCGAGCGTGAGACTTGATTTATTAAGCAACACCGGCTTGACCTCGCTTAATATCAAACCCAATAATTTGTGTAGGTGTTGGTGGACCTTTAAATAATGATTAACAGATTTATCTCGTCTAATCGAAATTTTTCTCTTCTTAAACTCATTTGATAATCTAGAAACGCAAATTTTGATCGAACTTATATTTACTCAATGGATACAATTCAACTGATCAATGGGGAGCAAAATTCCCTTCTTCTTTTTTTCTTTTAAAAAAAAGAGGCTATTTGAAAGGAAGCTATGCAAATTAAGCATAACATTCTTCATCCCAGACACGCTTAATTCGATGTTTTTATTCAAGATTTGGGATTAATAAGTATGTTTGGTTGGTAAGATACGGAAGCCATTGATTAACTGACTTCTAACCGTTGCTCACGTCTTTATTCATCAACTTAATTCTTATGTTTTTATTCAAGTATATTGGCTCGCATTATATACTTAAGGTTACTTATAAAGTTTCTGCCATACGGGTGCTTTTAACTCATTTTGAGTTCACGTATACTTTTAACTTCTTCATAGTGTTCTTCCTTTAGATATCGTCAAATTATAAGAAAGCGTGAGATTAGTTCTAACACACAATTCCTTTAAATAATTCAAGTTAATTTTTTGATTAATCTACAAAATATCTTTATCGAACCAGAGAAACAATTCTCCCTAGCCCACCTAGTCATTTCAATGAAAGCAAAATCTAAATATCAGATTCTTCAATTATCAGTCATACCGACCAATTTAGACCTTTGAGGGTACTAAAATTATTTGTGACCAATTTAATTTGCTTGCAATCTACGAGGTTAATACATCACTATCACTCAATTTCGCTGACCAAAAATGCATGTGATAATCATAAACAAATTAATAACCTCTCTTTTTTTACATATTAATTTACGAAAAAAAAAATCTTGTGTTATAAAGGAACTTCACGACAATTATAAGTACAAAACATCTCAAGCTTAATCTATTCATTTCTCAACGGAGTCTTACTTATTAGGCGGCGAAAGAAATAATGGTATATAAGGGTTTCCTTATCGACGGAAGAGAAGAGAGATGGTTAGTGTGTCAATGGGTGATTGATGTGGGTTGATGAGGTCTTACTTCGAAAATTTAACGCTACGTCGATTGGATTTACCTAAAATTGTTTGTGTGGGTCTCCCAGCATGCGTCTCACTTTTAGCCATTATCTGGGTATAGCTTAAATAATTAATTACAATTCTAGTCAAAGTCAACAACTAATTTTATCATATGATACTTAGTGATTTTCAATCACACATTTCATTCAACTTTCATCAAGTATGTGTTTAATAAGAAATCGTAGCATCTACCGATTAATGGGGTTTACAGAAAATGAATTTCGATGTTTTAAAATAAATTAAAATTTAAAAAGGTACAACTATTGAAATATGGATGTTAGGGTCAGGTGGTGAAGTTGATGTGCGAACCAACCATTTCAAATCTCTCGTCAATTGCCCTTTTCATATGACACAGTTTCTCTCATCCATTATTACATGATATCTAATTCTCAACCGTAATTTATTCTTATACAAAAACAAATCTAATATAAAGGCATCAGTTAGTGTGATTTGACTTTTTTTTTTTTTTTATTATTGCTTTTTTTAGGAAAAATGATGTTTCTTTCATAATGAGAAACACTGAGTAATCCTACCCAACACCCTCATTGAGTTTCTAACATAAATATCAAGACATTTAGCCTCTGATTAGGTTAGTTAAAAATCAAATTTTGAGTATATTTGAATAAAAGTTGACGAAATATATGGTTGAAAAGTTGACAAAAGGAAAATCTCAGAAAATGTATGATTAAAAATGAATTTGAAAAATAATAAATTTTAATAAAAAAGGGCCAAACAAGAGATTAAAATTGATTATATATATATATATATATATATATATATAGAGAGAGAGAGAGAGAGAGAGAGAGAGAGAGAGAGAGAGAGAGTAATGATTTCCTAACAGGACACACCGTTTAATTAGTAAATCATTAAACTCATGAAACTTATCATTAATTTATTCACCAATTAAATATTGTGTCAATGTGCTATGTCATCAGTGCTTAACATAAATTAAGCACCGGTGTATAGAAGATCACTTAAAAAAAAGGTTGAACCCCAACGTTGAGGGTCCCTACCGCTCTGCTCCTAGAGTTTTGTGAGGAGATAAATCGCGGGATGTACCCCAACAGATCAGGGAACAAGAGCTATCTGTACACTGCGCTTACAAGGAGTCCAATTCCATGTCTCAGGAATCGAACCCCCACACTGCGGCTATCAA